TCGAGTTGTTTTGAACCTAGGGTTGAATAATTGATCACCATCTTAATCTATTTAATCGGCTTTAGAACTGAAAGGGGAGGAATTGATCGATCTAGGCTCGCTTAGAATAGACTTGTTCGGAAACGTGTTGTCTATGTGCTAATTGATTCGATAATTGATCGTTTACGTTTATTCTCTTGTTACGTGAGTTATTGAGAATGAATCTCTGAATGAGTGAGTTTTTCGAGTTCTTTAGCCGAGTGATCAATTGCCGTTTAATGTATTGAGAACCGAAAACGATTGTCCCCACCCTAGTCCATTATATCATTATTTGAATTGTGTTTTGGGGTGTGAAATTGAAATTGCTTGTTCGAGTATCATTAGTTGTTAATCTTGTAATTGATAATCAAAACCAACCAATTGAATTAGATTGTTTAGGATTATTTTCTGTTCCTGTGACTAAATATTTGCACAATTTAATCCGGCTGACCTTCCTTGAGACATGACCCGGTGTTCGAATCTTTTGATTCCACTCAGGTAAAAAAAAAAACTACAACAGTTCCGGCGGCGGCAATTTCTGGCGATTGTCGGCGGATGGCGGAAGGCGGCGGTCGACGGTAAAGGATGGCCGGAAAAAGGAGATCTTCAAGGTTTAAATTATCTTACCTTAAGATCTTCTAATAGATTACCTTTGCACCTACTTTGACTAATCTTGGTGTGCGATTAATTGAAACTCCCGAACTCTCGAATATGTATAAATCACGATTTTCGTCTCTCTATAGGACCTTAAAATCGAGCTCTATCATTAGTAGGAGAAGAGGTAGGAACATGGTGTATTTATAAGCTCCATTAGGGACTTTAAGGAAGTGCTAAATATGAGTTTATCCCATTAGGCTTAGGAATCGTAATCATGCTCCATATCCTTTCTCATGTAGAAGTCTTATTCCTCCTAATCTTTATTACCTTCTAGAAGTGTCCATAGTCTCCTAACCCTAGGTAATATAATCTCCTAACCCTAAGTAATATTTTAAAAGGAATATTCCTCTCCTAAAGGAATCTAAATTATGGAATATAATTAATTCCTTAAATCCTAATTAGAATTAAATAATAAAACATCCCACCAAAGTAATATTATTGTTCTTCCCATTTACCTCCAATTTATTCAATAAATCAAACCTCCAAATGATTAGTTAACATTAATCTAATTGAGAGATTTACCTCTCTATTTTTAAGATATAACGTTCATCAATTAATTTAATTACTGACAATTAAATTAAATTGACTTCTTTCATTTCCAAAATTAGTACCACTCAGTTCATTAATCATTATGTCGGATAATTATCCACCTGCACAGTTTGACATAATATCCTCTTCCTGAGCTCATTTCGGAGACGTCATCAACCCAGCACACTGGGACATAGTGACTGTAAATAATTGGTAACGACATATCATATAAATACTCTTACTTACCAAGATAGCGAGTATGTCATCCTAACAGAATAAGAATCACCCTTGCTAAATCAAATAAATAAGTAATAAATATATATATGCCCATTTTATATTATCTTACCGCTTAAGAGAATGCCTCAATCACTGAAGGTCTAGATTATAACCACGATCAGTAAATCTTATAATCTTATTCTTCCGCGGTTCATTCAATACTTATCATAAGTACTAGTGTAACCCATCAGTCAAAGATCAACTGAATCAAGACTACACTATATATCCAACAGGGGTCTCACTGCTTGTCTAAAACTGTGAACATTAAATTTATATTTTACAAGGAACCGATAATATGATCTTACTGTTCGACACGACGAACCATATTATCTACAATGTAAAATAATGGAGTTATGATGTATAAATAAATAAACTGCAAGCATAAATACTTTGACTAAAACATTATTGCCAGATCAAAATGGAATTGTTTATATCTGAAAGTCAAACTTTTACAACATATCTAACACACCATTCTAAAGGTTTGTGGAGCAAATCATAANCAACATACCCAGTATATTCCCAACAGGTAGTTGAATAAAACATAAAAAAATAAAAAATCGGTAGCTGAAAATAAAACATAAAAAATAAAAAATCGGTAGCTGAATTATCAAAACCACTAAAGCGATGGTGAATCAACACATAACATTGGCAGTTGTACACAAAAATGAAGAGTTGATCAAATCAAAAGCTGCCTGCTAAACAGGTGAAATAAACTGAAAGCGCGTGTGGAGAAAATCACAAGGAAAGGAAAATAAAATCCAGTAGCTGAATTATCAAACACCATGCTTAAAGAATCTCATCCTACAAACATAAATAGAATATGACCATGCTAAGTACTCCATGAAGATCAATCATGTTCTGTAATGAAGCAAGAGTTTTGAATACTCGGTATCTGGAAGGACAATGCGAGGTTCTTGAAAGTTTAAGCTAGATTAATTATCCCAAATTTCTTAATCCGGCATATGTTGAGTGCCAATAGTATTAACATATTTTTGAAAACTTCTGCATCTTATAATTAGTGTTGTATCTCAGAGGACAACTAAAACTTCTATAATCAAATTATGAAGAACACAAAGCATTAGCTCTAACAAGGAATACTCAAGCTCAACTCTAGCAGATTTACTTATGTTATACTATGATTGGTCAAAAACTATGAATACCAACATATATATACCACAAGTCGACACCCAGTAGCAGCAAATCCGTAAAATTCGCTAATTTAGACAACTTACACGGCTTTCAATATCCCTCGTCCAACTGCAGGAGAGCGTTCCTGCGAGGTACAACTCCGTAAAGACAATGAAAAACCTTGATCAACCCATCTCTTTTCCTGATTGCAGAGGCAATCAATCCGATTTCCTTGGTAACAAGATTGTAGAAGATGACCGAACATCCTTTACAGCCCCACACAGCAAACACCAATATCTCCTATGGTTCAGCCAACCAACCGGCCGCAAAGTAAAATCGCCATCTTCGCCGCAAACCTCTCCTATTTCGTACTTTCGACCTTCCAACACAATCCCACTTTCGATTTCCCTCCAACATTCCTCCGGTAATCCACCAGGAACCACCAACTCCCAAACCCGAAACCAGTAATCCCCACAATCAACCACTAACGAAAGAGACTTCACAGTCGACAAGTAATAGTACATGTTTTTCATGAGTATTCGAATGCAGCAAAGTTAGTGGGTCGCTGGTCCGCGTGATTACCTCGTTCTCCACATCCAGCGAGAGCACAGTGCCGCAGAGAATCCAGTGTATGAAGCCCTCGGTTGTAATCGGGCTCCGGGACAATCTCTGTTGCCCGGGCAAATATTGCTCCGAAACAACATCCCTCCAATGCCAGCTGTCCTCGACCGTCAGCACCGCGCATTTCACCAGGCCCTCCCTCAGCACAACGTACATCACGGCGACTTTACACGGTGCGGAGGCCGAGGGGGACGCGATTCCGCACGAATTCGACTTCTGGAGGGTTATGTTCCTGAAAATTGAGGGGAGTCGGAGGATTCGACCCGTGGCGGGGTTGGCCACGTGGACACGGTCATGGGACAAGGGTTTTTCACGAGTGGTCATCAAGACGAGGCCGTTGCAGCTGGTCCACGCGGAGAAATTGAAGGGGCGAGGGTAGTCGGAAACCACGATGCGGCCGCCGGGTCCAACGGACACGAAGAGCACGCGCAGGGAGGAAGGGCGGTTCGTGCCTTGGACTTCGAGGAGGAGGCCGTCGTGGGCGTGGTGGAGGAGGTGGTGTGTGAATTCGGGGGAACGGATGAAGTGGTGGAGCCTGGGGCAGACGAGCCTGGCCTTTGTGGATGTATTGAGCAGGGAGGTTAAGAAGGATTTTGCGCAGCAGGTCGTCGGGAAGAGAATCGAAGCTTGCAGCGGCGGCAGCGGGTTTTTCGATTCTTTTGGCGGCGGTGGCGAACCGGCGTAGCCGCTTTTTGTTGCCCTCGGGCCGGAGGGCGATTGATGATGGAACTTCTTTGCCCATTGCAAGTTGGGATTGGTTTTTTAAATAATATGATAAAATCCCCTCTTCTCTATATATTAAATCAGTATGTGGTAGAGCCTAGGTTCGTATTTTTTGGGATTCTATGTGGAAAAATTACATGTTTTACAGTAGATTTTAATTTACTTCCAATCTAAAATTAATTAAGTTCAAATTATCCATAAATATATTATTTATGGTCATGTTACATGTATTAATTGTATTTTAATATCATTTCTTATTATAACCATTGAATTGTAAGTGTATTTTAAAAATTAATAACTTTTATATTCTTTATCAATTTTACATATATAATATATCAAATTAAGCATCTCTTGGTGAGTTTCGATTTAACATCCATATTGTATGTACAGAAAAATAAATTATATTTATCTTTATAACAATAATAAAATTATTTTTAATATTACTTAAAAAAATAAAATTATTTATTAATTAATATATTTATATTTCAAGCAGTTATATGATATAAGTTATAAAAGTTATTATAATATAACACATGTAAGTCGCACAAATAACAAGTGTCCTTCTAAAATATATGATATTTTAGAAAAAAAAAAATTTAAAATATTTTTTCTCATTAATTTTAAAATTTAAAAATAATTTTTTAACAAGCAATTACTAATACATGTTTAAATCAATATATATTAGGGGCCTAGGGCTCCTTACTGGGATGATATAATGCTGAGATAAAATATGTACTGTTTTAGATTAAAGTGTTTTGTTTACGTCTAAAAGTGATATACACTTTTTTTAAGGATAGAATTGTTTTTTTTTATCACCTTAATTTAAATTCAAGGCCGACCACCTAACTGTTAGGATAATTCATCCTAAAATTTGTATTGTGAAAAGAGAAAAAATAAAAATAAAAATGAAAGCACATCAGCATAGTCAAAACGCCAAACAGGCAAACATCAATTCAATGCACACATAAGCCTTTGCAATTGGATCTCCTATTTCACCCATCAATAATTACCACACCACAAAAGTCACAACTCACACATACCATTGTCATAAACATAAAAGTCTGCAAAAATAACNACCACTTTCCAAAGGCGCATCGTAAAACAACGCAGAATTATTACTATTTCTTCCCAAAACCTCCATATACGAATCTCATAAAAACACTCGAGAACGAAGTCGTGTATAACACATATTCACACAGACAAACAGCTTTAGATTAGGTCAGTGCTGACCTGTGCTGATGATGCCTCCATAAGCCCATTACGTATCTGCTCTCCAATATCCCGAACGTGGCCCGGCCCATGAGGTATGAAAACCGTTGTGTTCTTGGACCCATTCCCAAGGTCCTTAATCGTGTCAAAATACTGGGTAATCATTATAAGGTCCATCACCTCTTTTGCCGATGTGCCTTCCACTTTGTGTGAGAAATTCAGAATATTTTCCCGAAGCCCGTCTGTAATAGCCTGCCTCTGCCTTGCAACCCCAACTCCACCAAGATATTTGGCCTCAGCATCTGCTTCGGCTTTTTTCACCTGAAGAATTTTCTCAGCTTCGCCTTTGTATACGCTTGCAAGCTGCATTCTTTGAGCTGTTGTTGTATCAAATATAATATACACACATTTAGAATACTTGCAAGTGAGAGTATCATTAATTGTCAAATACTAATTTGATCAAAAGAGCCTACCGGTTCCCATCTTAAGAATTTTAAGTGCTTTGTTTGGGAGAACTTACGTAAAATGTCCATTTCTTACTTATTGGAGAATGGAGAGGCAATGTATCCATAAGTCCGTTCTTAATTTACCACCAAAAATATAACCCAAGGACTCTGCACTCGAGAGTCCATTTGATAAGTGTTTCCAAACAGGCTTGTAAAAATTTTAACTTTGGGAAGTTTTGATTCTAGGCAGAAAATAAATGAATTCAAACCAACTGCTTGTTTTCTCTACTAGAGATTCCATGGTTCTTTGAGATATAGGCACGGCGAAAAAAATAAAAAATAAAAAAACCCCAAGTGAAAGATAAATGAAAACTTCATCCAAAATGTCATGAAAGCCCTGAGAAATGAAAGGAACAAAGTTCTTATCCGGAAAACACAACTGATATAACTTCTTTTCAAGTACATAAAGATAAAGCAATTTGCATAAAATCTTGCGATATCAAGTAAAGCTGGCAAAGTTACAAACACTGTTCTTTGTGAAAATACTAAACAGACAAATAACGCACAATATGACCATATAAACAAGCACATGAATTTTGAATTTCAAAGTTCTGCTTACCATCATGAAAGTTAAAACCATAACTGAGAATGATATCAACACATACTAACCTGCATTTATCTCATTCATTGCTTTCCTAACAGCAGGATCAGGGACTATATCCACCATCAATATGTGCTCAATGTTGTAACCATATGCTCCCATCACCTGACAAATGAAATCTAACTGAAATTGTTTTCGACATCATAATATTGGCATAATACATCCGAGTTCACATAATCCCATTTTCAAATATATTCCTCTCTTTTGCATTCTCTCCAGTCACCTCTGGTTTCACTTAAATAATATTAAGCAAAACCACAGAGATCCTAATAATTCCACCAGAGAGGACAGGTTTATTGATATCAGCTAAGCAGCTATCAGATTATATATACACCATCAGTTTCATTTCTATTTATCATTTAGAGTTTTACCACACATTAAGACCAATCATTTTCTAATATAATTAATATAAAACAACTAATTTACACTTTCAAATTTGATCAGAGTTGACTATGTGTCATTAATTACTACAACAAAATCAAGTACAAATTCAAGACAAACGGGGAAGTGAGAAAGCAAAATTAAATCTCCAATTTTCTAAAACTGGAGCACAAGATGAAACATTTTGCTTTGTAAAATGAAGGACAGAATGAAATTGGGGGAGTAAGTAGCTAAATCTTCTAAGATCCTCGGGCCTGTTGAATCTTCCCGGTTACTGAATCCATAGTAAACACCCATAGTATTGTGTAAACAACTCGTAAGATTGATAATTCTCTCTCACCTCCCATTGTACGAACTTTAGTTCAAATTCAATCGTACCATATCATAGATATCGATTTGAAAAATAAGTTTACCTTCTCCAGTTCTTCCAATACAGCTTGAGCCACATCATTTTTTTGTTCAAACAGCTCATCCAAAGTCATTTTAGGAACATGGGCTCGGACCACTAGTAACCAAGTCCACAACATTAGGAAAACAAATATACAAAAGTAAAGGATATGAATGAAAATATTCGCAGAAGTATATTCTACGTACCATCATAAACATATGACTGAATCTGCTCTTGAGGATTTTGTAATTCATAAAAGGCATCATCAGCATTTTCTTTGATCACTCTATATTGAATCGAACAATGAATCTGAACAAAAACATTGTCCTGTTGCATTCATAATGTATTAGTATGTTCTGTAACACGAACAAATGGTACAATGAAACAGAGAACTTCATACTCCCAGAGTGGTACATTAACTAGGAACATGTCGTTCACTTTAGTCTTAGAAAACCCTTCTTACTATGAGTTAGCTTGGTCACATAGAAATAGTAAGCGTTAAATATGGAAAGAAAAGTCACTTTTCCGATGTTTCGCAGCACATATCAGTAATAAATAAGATAGTAGCATCTGACATATAAATAGAACTCAATAGTCAGACATTCAATTATATGTACCAATTGCAGGCGCAATTGCTTATATTTACATGCATGAGAGTTGTGATTAAAGCAGTGGCCGATGTTTGTATAATCATGATTTATGGAAGTTTTCAAATAAATACTCAAGCAATCAAGACTTCTCCATATTCCAAGATGATCCAATTAATTTTTAAACCCAATAGTCCAAATACAACCTTCGTAACATGGAAGAGAGGGCGTCAATAAAGATAGATATCACAATCTACCAGTCTTAGTATGATTATGAATGTGATGAGGGAGTCAATTTGTCTTTGAAACTTAAACCAATGAAAAATAACAAGTTTTACAAAAACAAATTCCCTGCTGTTCTTCAATATATTAGTGACTTCAAGGAACAATTACACATCAAATGCTAACGAACGATCCTTATAATTACACAGAATAAAGGTTGTCCACCTATTTAGCAAGATCGCAATAATTTCATCTTGATTTCTGAAACTATCCGCCCAAACATGAATTTCTACTGTTAAATTTCTCACAGTAATCCTTTTAATTTCATCTGACTAACAAGAACAGGAATTCAATTCAATCAAGAACACGAAAAGGGTATAGAGTAAAAAATAACGTCATCCATAAGGTAAACCAATTCTCCCTCACAATCCTGCGCGATCACACACACACCCCCCAATAGGTAGGTTAAAAGATCACGAAAGGACCTTGGTTTTAGTCTCGATTTTGACGTCGAGGGAGTTTATCCTCGTGGACAGGATTCCGGCTAGGCATTCGCCGGCGAAGGGGTTGAAGAGTTGGAAGCCCGGCTGAGCGAGGCGGTCGAAGCGCCCCCACTTCTCGATCACACCTACGCTGGCTTGGTCTATGCACCCGCAAAACACACAGTAAGCGTTCCCCATAGCTCGCACCACCCACTTTCTCTCTCTCTCTCTCTAAGGTTTTCGCCGTTCACACTCGAATAAAGAAAGGATTTTGATGAAATCACGAAGAAGGGGTGAGTTTAAGCTAAAACTAATGGTTTTATAATAAAAACTTTTTTATTATATAAAGAATCATAGGTGGGTAGGTATTGAATTAGGATTCTAAACACTTTTTGATAATTTAAAACTCCTCTTGTATTCAATTTAGATTTGTTAATAGGCTTTTAAAAATTATAGAATATTCAATTGAGATCTTAAAAAGTCTTACAAAATCATGAGTTATTTACTTTATTTGACACTAAGATTTATTAAAACTTTTTAAAATTTAGTGGAATTTTTAAACAAAAAAAAAAAAAACAAAATCTCACTTCACATCTTATCTCCAGACTTATTAAGATTTAATAGAATTCCTCCAAAATCTAAAAATTTTAAACGTCTCAAATATTAAAAAGTTTTAAAGTGTCATGTAAAACATTTAATAGCTATATCTATATATATATATATATAATTACTAGCTGATGCATTTAATAAAATATTTAATAAATTTTTTTTTCATTTCCCTCCAAAAGGAGTTACATTTTTTTAATTAATTACTCACTAATCTAATTAATATAATAAAAGTACCATGTCTAAAAAGGAGTTACATGTTTACTCAATTACACACTAATCTAATTAATTACTCCAAAAGGAGTTACATTTTTACCCTCCAAAAGAAAAAGTAATAATTTTTATATGATAGAAGTACATGTCTAATTAATAAATACAAACAAAAACGTATTTTATAACTGTGCAAATGCACAGTATCAAATACTAGTATATATAATTACTAGTTGATGCATTTAATAAAACATTTAATAAAACCTATTTTAATTTCCCTCTAAAAGGAGTTACATTTTTTTTAATTAATTAGTCACTAATCTGCTAAAACCGTTACACTTTAATATATATATTTTTATTATATTTTTTAGATCAGTTACTAAATTAATTTTAAATTTGATAGCAAAATATTCAAATGTGTAACGGCTAATGTTGGAACTTAAAGTTGATTAACACATTCAGAGATGAAGCAGTTGAACACGGTAAAGCAGTTGAGAAGGAAAAGGGCAAAAAAGATGCGTAGAAAAATTAAAAATAATAAAATAAAATGAGACCAAAATAAATAAGATTTTTATCTCCTCCAACGTTAGGATTCTTATAAAAAGTCGAACCTATTTATTTTAGAATATAATTGTATTAATTTTTATCTGAACCAAATCCGAAGGTGAGAACCAGCCATTTAGGCTCAGCACGTTCTCAAATTATATTAAGGGGGATGTGTAATTAATAAATACAAACAAAACGTGTTTTATATATATGCAAATAAACGTGAACAAATACTAGTTCTTAAAGTAGTCCTCCGACTCCCATTAATTACGTTTCAGCCCCTTCTGTTTCAAACAAATTCAAAGCACATAAAAACAGTTTCAATCTCAAATTCCACAAAACTGAAGGAAATAAATTGTGTAATCAGAAAAGGAGAAACGAGAAAAAGAAAATTATTGGAAATGGGGAAAGATCTGAGCGACGATCAGATTTCATCGATGAAGGAGGCCTTCACCCTTTTCGACACCGACGGCGACGGCAAGATAGCGCCGTCCGAGCTCGGGATCCTGATGCGCTCCCTCGGCGGAAACCCTACCCAGGCCCAGCTGAAGTCCATAATCGCCGAGGAGAAGCTCAGCGCGCCCTTCGATTTCCAGCGGTTCCTCGATCTGATGTCGAAGCACCTCAAGCCGGAGCCGTTCGATCGCCAGCTGCGCGACGCTTTCAAGGTGCTCGACAAGGACGGCACCGGATACGTCGTCGTTTCGGACCTTAGGCACATCCTCACCAGCATCGGGGAGAAGCTGGAGCCGGCGGAGTTCGACGAGTGGATCCGCGAGGTGGACGTCGGGTCTGATGGCAAGATCCGGTACGAGGATTTCATCGCGCGCATGGTCGCCAAGTGAGAAGGTGATTTTTGTGGCTTTTGAATTTGTGTTTCCCGTGATTATGTTGCTATTTTTCGTTTAACTTGAAAAAAAATGATAATGCGGGTTGCATTTCGTTCTATCTTGCTTGTTTGCTTTATGGAATGAACATGGAGATTTATCGGCAAGATCTTATGATTAGGCTTTTTTTACGTTATTTAATAACGGTGACAAAGCAATCATAGTACTGAGAGGAAGATGATTTATTAGTGGGTAGTAGCTTACTGAGTTACTAGTACTATGAAGTCAGAGATTGATTATGGAAACTTAAGCTACATTTAAAAAGAAGACTTGGTGATATGTCTTACAAAAGACTCATATCAGCGTAAAGTGGAAATTGTCGAAATGATGATAAAAGAGCTTAAAATGATTAGAAATCCATTGTGGAATAACATTTTGACTTTATCCAGTTAGCCTTAAACCTGATTAGTTATGACTTATGAATGGTTGAAATCCATAGTTTCAATCGTCGACCCAAATGATACTTAAATTATACAGTCAAGAACTAGATGTCGAGAGCTTGGGGAGATACTTTTGATTGGTTATTTGGTGAAGTTAGAAATTTTGCATCTAATGTTAACTGTTTAGTCATAATTGAATTCTTCGGAAGCATTTCAAATATTAAACCTGACTGATCTAGCTTCTACACCGATGTAGCAGTTCAAAGATCCGTAGTTATGTTGCATTTTTTTTCCATTTTAGAATTTCTCAAGGTCTGGTAGACATTATATAGCATAGTTAGTAAAAATGTCCAATTATCATATGTGTACTTTTTAGTCTTTTCTTTCAATACCAATCCTTGCTCTAAGAAATTAGTGATCCAAAGTATGAACAATCATATAGCTCTTGCACAAGAAGCCTTGCAGATTATGTACATTTGGTACTTCTCTGTACTTGATGGTATTTGCACTTTTAATTCTCACTTGATGTTAAAGTGGTAATGTGACCTTTATTATAGAGGATAATCTGGTCCACAGGACACCGTCCACTGATGTGGGGTGGTTATTCATGCAGTTCTGGCTTGTCCTTAATTGGGCCGTCATTTTTGTGAATTTTAAATATAAGTCTCTCATATGCTTTCGAGCTGGAGAATTTAACAGTCTGAAAGTTTTATTTTTTTGGATCCGTGGTGGATCATGTTATTACTTAGCAGTATAGATTAAAATGTCAAAGAGATACAGAATTTTGACATTATTTTTCATGTATTTTTGGAATTTGGAGCATATGTTAGTTTAGGTCACAACAGTCGGTGCTGTGAGCCGCACAAGTGTGATTGCAGCAGATTGTGTAACTTCTGGGTAAGGATTGCCCGGGTCAAATGACCAATGAAGAATAGAATAGGTGTATATATTATGTGAACTTTACAAATTGAAGATATAATAGTTTATTTTTGTGTAAAAAAATATGTAGCTCACTAAATTATGTTCTCCTCACTAGTAAAGTTGTTCACTGGTTAAAGTTTTGCAAAAATAAGTCTACCTAGCTAACTTCCTTTGACAATACACATAATATGATCGATAAGGTTAATAAAGAATTGGAAAGGACAAATGGTCCAAATTCAAATTTGGATTGAATAACCTCATAAACCCCCAAGTGCGCAACTGAGACGGCCTTCAACTAGGAAGTGATTTTTTTCTTCGGCATTTTCCATCTAGACTTCTCTATTATGTGTTTAATGTGTGAAATTACTTAACAAAGTTACAGACTTCCCAAAAGTCACCGTGTTTCATTTTTAATTGATATTTCGACTAAATGCCTTGTTTTCATTCTCGCTCTCCACATCTTGTTTTCATCCATTGCAGGTTTCACAAGTTCCAGTTGCGTTGATCGTCTTGAAGTGGGAGCCCGTGTTTTTTTTCTTTTAGATAGTAGTTTTGTATTTCGCATGCAGAATTGCAGTNCTTTCATTATTTTGATATTCTAGTATGTGTAACTTGCGCAAATGTGTTGTCCTCAAGTTGAAGTTTTCCTGGTTTTCAACATTTTAAATTCGTTGTGTTTTAGTAATATGAATTGGCTATGTACAATTTCTCCAAATTAGTGTTCAACGTGTGTGTATTGCTGCTGATTTGCATCCGAGTCCCGACTCCTGAGGACAGGCATTCATGTTGTCCTTGATTTATTTCGTGCTTGAATACTATCATTTTAATTTGGGGAGGTCAATGTAATAAATAAATGTCATATTCATCTATTTTCAAAATTATTTCAACATCAAACCAATTGACCGACTTTTAATAAATTCAAAGACTTCACTCTTAAGCACCAAAAAGCAAAAACACCAACTATTTATCATTTACAGGATTTTCAATAGGTTCCCATATTGCTGGAGTAATAACATATGACTAAAATGCGATCTATCTGAAGATATCTTTTCTTTCATTGATTTTTTATTTACCTGAAATTATTTCGACAAAAGAAAAAAAAAATGATAACAAACACTCTCTAAATCTAATAAAGACAATAGGAAAATGCTTAATGATAAGTTTCTTTTCCCGTCAAAAGAAAAAAAAATAAAAATAAAAAATGGATCGTAGTCCTTTGTACATCTAGGGTCAGTTTGATTGTAATAATGGATTGAGCATGACATAATCTTTTTTATTGTAATAATGGATTGAACATGATATAATCTTTTTTATTGTTTCAAAGATTATCCATCTATTTTGTTAGCCCATTAACTTGTTTGGTTTAGAATTGGAAATTATATCCTTTAGATTGAAAGTATTTTTCTATCCTTTATTCAAAATCGAATCATAGCTCAGGAACACAAAAATGGCAGATTCCATTACCTTGCAGGCCGAACAATTAACCAGTAAACTTGTCCTCCAACCAAAACCCACAAAGTAAAGACACTAAGAGATGAAAATCTACAACAAAATCATAAGTTTTCAGTAATAAGCTCGAAATTCACTTAAAAGTCATACGTTAGCTTATCAACCATTAGCTGACTTATTAGATAGGTTCACCAAATAACTTATGGCTGAAAAACTAGCTTATAGGATAAAAATGTTTGATAAAATTAGTTAATAAGCTAGTCGAAATAAAAATGTCAATGTACTTATTTGAAAAGCTACACAAGATTAAACTCGAGATTTTCAAAAAAGTTCGTATCCTACCAAATCAAATTTATTTGAATATAAGAAACTTATAAGCTAATTAAATAAAATATAAGCTAGGTTATATGCTTACTAATCACAACCTTTACAACATTGAAATTAGTTAAATTGGACTTCTCAATTGCTGTAAAAGGCCATACTTTATTATTCAATTTGTGGGTCCAAATACTGGGCCGGCCCATGTATCCATAAACTCATCAATTATAACAAAACCCTAATTGTCAACTCCAACGGAGCAGACGCAACCTTCGTTTTTCAGCAGCAACCGAACTTCACAAGCGCAGAACTGCGCCGCCGTCTCCTCCGTCGTCATGGGTCGTATGCACAGCCGCGGGTAATCATTTTTGCTCCATCCAACGTTATTCCCCATTTTTCTTCAGTGATTTTTTGTTCTCTTTCGTATCATATTCATATGTTTTGCTTTCCCATTACAGTAAGGGAATTTCAGCCTCAGCCCTCCCCTACAAGAGAACTCCTCCCAGCTGGCTCAAGACCTCTTCTCAAGATGTAATTTTTCTCCTTTCTTTCCCAAATCTCCTCAGTACATTTGTTCAATTTTTTTTTCTCTGATTTTTTGTGTTTTATATTGTTATCAAGGTTGAGGAGAATATCTGCAAATTTGCGAAGAAAGGGTTGACGCCATCACAGATCGGTGTTATTCTCCGTGATTCTCACGGTATTGCTCAGGTGAAGAGCGTCACCGGAAGCAAGATCCTCCGCATTCTGAAGGCGCACGGTATTATTCCATTTTTATACAATTTTTTCTGCTAATTTTGTGCCTTTTGGATCTTAAACAATGTGATTGTTGGTGGTTAAGGTTAAATATTAATAATTTGATAATTTATCCAGGTCTGGCACCAGAGATTCCAGAGGATCTGTATCACTTGATAAAGAAAGCAGTTGCCATCAGGAAGCACTTGGAGAGGAACAGGAAGGACAAGGACTCGAAGTTCAGATTGATTTTGGTGGAGAGCAGGATTCACCGTCTTGCCCGTTACTACAAGAAGACCAAGAAGCTCCCGCCCGTCTGGAAATAGTAATTCCCTTCCCTCTTCTGTTTTTTCGCTTTTTACATTTGATGGCCCTTAATGGCTTACTTGACTGCTTGTTTTGTTGAGTAAAAGTTGAGATTAACTGTTTGTATGAATGGAAGTTAAATGATTTAGTTTGATTAGTGATTGTTTTTAGTGTGTTGATTCAAGAACTTCACACCGGCACTATATATTAGAGTTGTTGGTGCATAGATAAGATATTCTATTTTCGGATATTATGTGAGTTTAGGATTTTCCTTCCATTTAGCTACACTCTAAAGAAGAAAGCGATGGATTATTACAATAGGTGTCAACTCATATCAAATTGCAGCCTGTTGATTTCGAATTGGCTGTGAATGAAGTTAAATATAAAATGGAGGAATTTTATTGGTAAAAAATGTTTTGCAATTACGTTAATATTTCCAATTCTTTTGAAGTCACTGCTGTTTTTTCAAGCTATGAACTAGAAGGGTAAGAACTTGGAGAACGATTCTATTTCTTAGTTTCTTTTGGAATCAGTTGGACCGGCTTTACAGTTGGTTAAACAGGCTTTCTGTGGCTATCAACTAACCTTTCTTATGATGAAGTTTTGTACTTGGAAATTGGAATCATCCTTGCACTTTGATATTATCAGTTCCATTTTGAAGTTCTTCTAGGTCTGCCCCCCATTTTCTTCAGCATTCTGTTGTAGTTCTTTCTGTACGTGTCATTTAAACTTTCGTATTAAAGTATTTTTTTTTTAATTAAATTACGTAAAATAAAATATGGTTTTCCAGTTTTATCTATGACATTAATTCTCAATGGGATCATAGAGATTGAGGAAATGAATGACATTGTGAAATCATAAACTGTTAAAATATGAATGAAAAAATATTGGAAGACACCTAATTTCTTGAGTTTGTGCAGTGGTGATATATCTTTAGTTGTAAATTGAAAAAAAAAAAATCAACTTGAATGCTACTATTTTCTTTTGATGGTGCGGTGGTGACATTTCTTTAGTTCAATTGAAAAAAGAAACAACGTGAAGACTACATTTCTAGTTAAACTGATTTTCGAACACAACAAAAACTACTCCTGACATTAAATTCCATTACAAACTACAATCGCTTGCACTAAAATAGTTTTATAATATTAATTAAATATGTTCCGAAAACTTCAAAAAGTGGATGGGATGGATGAATTGCTAATTGCTTAGAGAAGCTTGTTTTAACATTTTACAACCCAGAGAATCCCTAACAATTTATTTTGGTAAAAGAGCTAATGGGTAGTGGTGGAGTAGTCTATTTTGTTTTTTGAATTACCCTTTTAAATATATATATATATATATATACCCAGATTAAACAGAAGTGGTGGCTGTATGTATTATAGGTTTTTATTTGAGTTTTTAAGCCTGTCATTTGAGACCCCAATTTCATCAATTGTGATGTGTGCAGTTATCTTCATGGGGTTTGCATTGTCTCGACTTGTGTTTACAAGTAATATTTTTCCAATTTTTGACACGACTTCTTTTTCCACAGTGAGTCAACCACTGCTAGCACGCTTGTGGCTTAAGGCTTGATTTTCTGGAGAAGTGGACAAGTAGCTCGTGAAGCTCTGGAGAGAATGTGGAGTGTCACCATCAACATGCACGGGCGAATTCTTGTATTTTGGCAAGGATATAATTATATCAGAAACTTTGATCTTTGATTCTACTGTGTTACTTTTAAGGAGATGACAATTTTGGATATCATTTTTGTTCATGTGATTTCTATTTCCCTTTTAATCTGAAGCTTTTGAACTTGATTTCTAGTGGCCTTGAGTAGTAGATTTTAGCAGTTTCTGGGCGATGTCCTCTGCTGGAGGAGGGATGCGGACAGAAAAAAGAAAAAAGAAAAAAGAAAAAAGTTGAGAACATGAGAATAGTATTGCAAAGCTTGAAATTTGCAGTTAAATTTAGAAAATCTACTAATCTGGCAGATGGATAGACTTCTGCATACTTGTATGGCGTGCTTGGATAAGGTTAATTTTAGAGACGTTGGTATATTTAGTTGGTAGTTGATGTAAAAGTAGAAGAAAGATGATGTGAAGTGATAGTTGGTTAAAATTATGTGAATGAATAAATGATAAATTAAAATTAATATGTTGTGTAAAAATGATAAATTGATATTATTTAATTATATTAATAATATCAAGAATAGTGAGGTTGAGTTAAAATTGAGTTAAATTTTAAATATGAATTGAGTGAGTTAAAATAATTTATTAACAAACACTAGTGAGATTGAGTTAAATTTTAAATACAAATTGAGTTTGAGTTAAAATAATTTATTAACAAACACCCGTAACGTGAATACAAATATCAATGTGAGATAAAAAAAAGTTATCAACTAGTCACTTAAAAGGTTGAAAACTAGTATAATAAAACATATCCCTTCTCAATCAACTATATCAGTTTAACCCAAACAAAAAGAAGTTATGAATTAGGAACATAAAAGGTTGAAAACTATAATGATAAAGGACTTCCCTCTTCAAAAGAAGCTATGATCACTAGAACTTTACGAGCATAGTCCAACATACTTTAAAATTTTAAATTGGGGTCCAAAAAACGTTCGTTGTGTTATAAAACTAGAGAGAAAGAGAGAGAATAGAGAAAATGTATTCTCTTAGGTGTGTTTTTCATTATAACTGAAGCTCCTATTTATAGGAAACTCCTGATAGCACAAATTGTAATAATACAAATATATCGAGGGCAAAATAGTCATTCACATACATTATTTTATTATTTCATAACACTCCCCCTTGAATGACTATTTTCTAAACATATTTTAACTGACTTGAACAAAGCCCAATCTGCACATCTTCAAGTGTATCTTGTGGCCATCAGGTACCGTTGCTTCAGCACGTCAGGAAAACCCGGTAGGACAAAACCTGATCATCTTGAAATCATAACATTGTTTGTTTCTTCAGGAAAACCCAGTGGGACAAAACCTGAGCATTGTGGAAGCACAACATAGCTCCCCCTCAAATAGATCATCTTTAGTGGAATATCCATGTGCTGCCTCGTTAAAACCTTGTCAAGAAAACCCAGTGGGAAAAAACTTGATCGAAGGAAAAATAGTACAGCTACTCCAGTGTCTCTTATCATCGTGAAGAATCATATCATTTATCCAGTAGTCCTCATCATACCATGAATATGCCTCGTTAAAACCTTATTAGGAAAAACCCAGTGGTACAAAATCCTAATGAAGGAAAAAGAGTACACTATTCATGTGAATACGCCATCCTTGTTGCCTCATTAAAAACCTTGCTAGGAAAACCCAATGGGACAAAACCTCAGCCAAGGGAAAAAGTGTACAACGCGTATTTCATATATTCACCATAATAATCTTTCCATAATTTGCATGAGTATCATATAAATTCTTTCGGATTTGTAGATACTGATGGTATTCACGCAATATGTCATATCATGCTTTGTGGAATTTGTATTCTTAAACTCATTCTCATCATCAATTGATTTCAATGGTCTTATTTCCATTAATTCCCAATATTCACATTTCAGCTGATTTCATTTTCGACAATATTATTTATATAGCGCTATTCATTTGTTTATGTCGACACTTATTCATTTCCATTATTCCCCGTAATATATTGAGATATCTCACTATCAATTGATTTCATCAATATATATGCCTCCTTTCATCACTTATTTGGGGGATTTCAATTTGCACAATGTCAACGCTTCCAGCGTATTATTCCACCAACATATCATTTCATATATTTCACATCATCAGTATCATACAGTTTATGATTCGCACACTCTCAGTGTGATGCATATATCATTTCCAAATTTCAATCATTGATTCTTCCCCTTATCTTAACAGATCCCTGATCTGTATTTTTAGTATTGAATTTCTTGAGGGGAGTTCATATAGTCTCTATTTTGTTCTCGATTTGAACATATATTTGGAGGACTTTGAACTCATATCATTTGTAGTGTGCACATTTTTCTTTCAAGAGTTCATCATATCAGGTGAGTATATTACTAGCTTCATCACTTTCATATGACACTTATTTTCATTCTTTCATAATCATCTTGTGTCATCCTTAGATCAAACCATCTCGTAAATTCAGGTTACATGTCATATACACATTCTTTGATCAAATCATCTCGTAACTTCAGGTTACGAATCACACACATGTGGCTATCTAGTGGATCCATAATATCTAGTAGCACACATGGAGGGGTAGTGGGCCCATATATATCATACCCTTTTTATACTCAGATTGATCAAATATCGATTCACAAATATTTAGCTAGTAATATTTTTCACCAATCGAGAACAAACATCTCATATAACAAAGAATAAGTTCATCATGCAAACCATCATCAATAATATCGGCAAACATTTTAAAATGATCACAATAATTCGTTGTGACACGTTTATCACAAACATTTCACATCATCTTTCGGCGGCAATAAATGCACTTTAAGTGTAGGCTCTGGTATAATATCTTTTAACCACTGTTTAAATCCAGAATCGTATCATGCTGTCTGACACACATACTTTTGAACACTGTTTAAGTCCAGAGTCGTATCTCATACGCATCATATTTTTCTATAAATTATCAGGTAATTCATTCAATTTTCTTTAACAAAGGTCCAAACTTACAAATGGATTTAGCACTCTCAAATATCCGTAAATATTATTCTTTTCTTCCGAAAAATATCATAAAAAAGATTTATCGATCTCGATTAGAAAGATTGAGGATGCTAATGAATAATGGTATTCCAAATGATGTTCGATGGTTGATCGAAGCACAAGTTCGATTGTCTGGAGAGTTTCCTTATTCATATAAATATATGCCAGGTATGGGTAAAAGTACTTTTGCAAAGAAACGACGAGCAAAAAGATTAGGTGGATGCTTCAAATGCGCTCGATGGACTTGTGACACACGATGTATATCTGTGGGGTACGTGTCCAAAAATCGAGAAGATAAAATAACGTTTATAAAGGATGGATTGAGTAAGGAGTCTTTGGATCAAACGATTCAACAGATTCTTGAGACACATCCTAGTGGATACGTGCATCGTGAGCTTATGTCTTTATGGATTCAGTTCAAAAATGAAGAAGAACGTTATAGTCTCGAAAATATTATTTCAAAAGATCAAGTTTGTAAAACTGGTCTTGTTAGTACGAAAAATCATACTAATACAGTTTAGTATGTTGTACTGTAATTTTCTAGAAAAAACCTATAGTTGCCGACAGATAAGATTTATTTAAAATCCAACACCTTATCTGTCAGTTGCAATTGTCAGAAGAAAACAGTAAAATTATTTATTGCTCTGTAAAGCTTTCTATTTAAATAGCGAGTCGTTCATCATAATCATATGCCTCACAAAGTTTTGAAAAACTCAGTTTATCAATAAATAGATGGATGTTTCAGAGTCTTCGCAAGGTAATAATTTTCTTCAACCGATCAAAACCATATGTGTTCTTGGTGGTTCTAAACTGGTAAGTTTTTCTCAAACTATTGATATTGTAAGTCAGTTAGTCAAAGAGATGGGGAATCAAAAAATCAATTTGCTGTATGGAGGGACTAGCAATACTTTCTATGATAGTCTCTTAATGGCTGGACAATGTTTTGAGATAGAAGTGAAAAGTATCATACCTTTTCGTAGAGCTTCAACAAAGGTCGTCAAGGATTCCACAAGCATGATGTTAACTCATTCCATTCATGATTGTATGATGGATATGGTGAACAATAGCGATGCTTTTATCATTCTTCCAGGCGGGTATGGAACGCTAATGACAATGTTCACCATTGCTTTATGGGCAGAATTGAAACTTCATAACAAGCCCATAGGTCTATTGAACTTTAATAACTTCTTTCATGGTTTGCTTGGATTTTTAGACATAGGAGTATATCAAACCTTTATATCTCCTTCAATGAGAGAAGTATTCAAATCTGCTGACACGTCTGCTGAACTTATCAAAAAGCTTCAAGAATGCATCACATTTCAAGATTCTGTGGAAACACAAGGGGTCAAGCGAAAAAGAGCTTTTGATCCTTTAAATCTCTCATTATGAACCCAGATATTATTCAAATATGAACCCAGATATCATTCATGGGTGGCAGAGTTACGGAGTTTTACATTCTTGAGACGCACCCTTCTTTTATGGGTTCTATTATGTAATCGTTGCGTATTTTGTATTCATCGAGTATTTACTGTCTCTTTTCCATATTTCCACCATCTGAACATTTTGTACTTGTTTCTCAGTAATAATAATATCAATTTCGATTTTTCTCAGTGTATAGTAGTTCATGATTACAATCATTATCATTTGTGCTTCTTCCGTAGCACTTTATTGTAATATCTGTATAATCTCGTATTTCAATATGATCTCGTTGTCTGATATAGCCCCTTAGACTCATATAATATATTAAGAAATCATTTTGTGTGATCATCCATAACTGGTAACTTTTGGTACCACTTTCTCATTCGTTTAATCATCCAATGATAGCTTCTGGTATCATTTCATCACCATAATGTGGTAGCTTACAGAACCTATATACCAAATATCATTTAATCATTATGCCGTAACTTCCGACATCACCTTAATCATGTGGTAACTTCTAGTACCATCTCATCAATATTCATATCTCCATAAAATTTGGAGAATTTATCAACTGATACTTCAGGACCATGTTAGTCCATATAATGTTTGTTCATGACAAGGACTTTAATTAACTTTCATATGGCCAGATACAAAGTATCATTAATCAGCTATCACCAATTAGTATTGCCCGTCGCCGGCGGCAGAGCCGCACTGGCCGGCGCATGTATATATATAACCATTCATATCATTTGTTGCATATGGCCTTGTCACCTGGTCATTCCACGTCACCGTTATCATTAATTACATTTATCATCTGAACATCACCAGTCATCATTATTAATACACTTGTCATCTTGCCATCACCGGTCATCATTATTCAGTACACTTATCATCTGGCCATCACCGGTCATCATTATTCAATACACTGACCGATTCACTTAGTTGTTCAAATCTTATTTCGGTGGATACACAGCTCGGTCAGTTCACATGATTTTCCTATTTCAACAGTTGATCCGTCGGATACCATTAAATATCACCTGCCGGCGGCAGAGCCGCACTGGCCAGTTTATGTAGCGACACATATTTATTTTCATATCACATGGGTCAATCCAGAAATATCCACATGTTCATGCACCAAATATTACAATAGTCAATCCATACACATGCACATGCTCATGTATCAAATAATTTTCACAATAACAAAATTCAAGCATTTCATAACCATAATATATTTGATGTATGATAATAAACCATATCAATATTTGTCTTAAATTAAACCTCTCATTATATAGAGTAGTATGAAAATAAATAAATTTAATTTGATAATCACGACTTTTTATATTTGACATTAACAAAGACCAATTCTAAAGTTAACTACATTATTCAATGATTTTATTACCTTCTGGTCATTTGTAGTGGACATGTGATGACATTAAATGAGAGTACTGGCTACAGTATTTTTATAGAAATCCTGTGGATGTCATAAATGGGTAGCTTTGTAAAGCTCCTCAATTCAGAAGAATCTGAATTTTTTTTCTTTCACATATGCATTTCACAAAGTCTTTGCTCCTCCTCTCATAATCTTTCTATCCCCATTTTCAGTATTCGCAACATTTACACCTTTTTTTTTTTTTTTAAAAACCCAAAAT